TTGCGTACGGATGACAGCCGCGTATGACTTAATTTACTTTCTGGTGCTTTCACTTCCAGAGGCAGTCGTAAGCACTGTGTATTTGCCTCGAGGGTGCTTGACCATTTTACACAACGTGGTGCGATTATCCCCCTTGCGTGGAGTGAGGGTTCTCCACCCCGCACAACATGATCTACTCGACCACCATTATGGTTACCGCCAAAAAAAGACGGAGGCAAAAGAAAAAACGGTAACCTGGTTGCCGAGTTCACGAAGTGAATTGGCTTGTTTTACAACGTCGTTGCCAAGCGACGAAAACCCAACCCCGACGGTAAACACCGGCTGGGAGGAGGGGGGTCATTTTCTTGAGACATGCAACATGCGGCAGTAGACCTTCGTTACCTAACCAAACTGACGCGGAGGCCGGAAAAGGGGGGTGTTTGTTGTGGATGGATGCGTGAGAACAATTATGTGTGGAAGAGAACATTGAATTTTATCTGCTATTGCGTTCATTCTGCTCGTGCTGTTAATTGTCGTGCCGTATGGGCTTACCAAACAGACTACGGCGAGAAGATCGGGTTGTACTTCCACTTCTTAGGCCATCTTACAACTTGGTGAGTCGCTTTTGGCGCGGGCTCAAGGGTTGAGATACAGACAAACCGAACCGGCAGAGCAATGCTTTTGTCGGTTTGCCGCTGGGATGGACGGCGTGGAGATACATGAGTAATTGCGCAGACAAAACGTTTTCGGAACTTCATCACGGGCATTTCTTGGGCAGTCTCTCTGGTGTTCATGGAGCTCGAATTCAACAGCAGCAGCAACGCAACAATATCAACTTCAACAACATCCACAACCACAGCCATGACAACACTAGCAACAACATAGCAGATGGGGTATCCCATTCGCATCTAGAACAGAGCGTGTAAATTTGTTGCAAAACCAGGCGGCGGTTTTCTGGACTGAATGGGAAACGCTGATTCCTGTTTGGAAAGAAAGTCTCGACGGTATCGTGTGGTGTGTGTCCTTGAGAGTACCATTCCCTGGAGGTTTTTGATCTTATCCCGCAGGCATGCCACCTTCGACACGTGCATGCTGCGGCATGGATAGACTATGTCCAAACGCAAGCAGCACTTGAAACCTCGGTGCGGTGGAAATCGTATGTGTGGCGCAGGGATGAAACCCGCTCAGCTAGAGAAGAATGGTTGGGTTGAAGAGATTAAAGGGGCAGGGAACACATCAACCAGACCCCTAATCTCGGTGTTCGACTACAATTGACCCATCCATGCGGTACTACATGTAACAGGCTGATTCCACTGGGAGTAGCGGGGCTGATAACCGCGATGACCGTGTACATATCGGGGAACGAGGAGCACGTGATAACGCTAATCTTCGCCCCCATCGTCGTTTTCTGGGCAATTGGTGAGGAATCACCGAGGGCACGACTCGCGGCGCGGGATGCCAACCCCACAAGTACGGACGCTAGCTATCATGAGACCAGAACCAACCCGAAGGCATTCAGCAAAAGTAATGGTTTTGGCGTGCCTGCGAAGAAGATACCAGAAAAGAGTGTGTCTTCGTCGGTTCCAAGCCACATTTCCCTGTCCCGTCTATTGTTGAAGTAGTGAAAAGGGTTGTCAAGGGGTGGGGGGGATATGCGAGGGCTATGTGTGTTTCTGCCTGCTACATGACCTGGTGATATGGTGCTACGTGTTGTCAAAACGTACGATTTGGGACGGTGGTCGGTACGTTTTTCTGGATCACCGAAACGAAGCTGCTGTTTTTGATGCCCTTCATCGACCGTTTTTAGCCATGCTGGAGTTCTGGAAGCGAAAAGAAAAGCGCGTCGCGTTGGAGTGGGGCATGATTGGCTTCGAAAATGGTGAGAGATACAGAGATGGAGGGCGGGGGGGGGGGGGGG